AACTCTACAGTGCAAAGAGGAAGCCATTTCTAAGCAAGCTCCACAAGACGATTGAACAGTTAGAGGCCTGTATTAGACATGAATGGGAGAGCATTCCTATTTCTAAACTTGAGAAACTGGTCTCCTCTGTCCCCAGACGTCTGTTGAGTGTTGTAAGAAGAAGGGGGGATGCCACACAGTGGTAAAAATGGACTTGTCCCAACTTTTTTGGGATTTGTTGACGCCATGAAATTTGGAAACAACAGATTTTCCCCTTAAAATGATACATTCTCTCAGTTTAAACTTTTGATCTGTGATTTGTGTTCTATTCTGAATAAAATATTAGATGTTGGCACCTCCACATCATTGCATTCAGTTTTTATTCACAATTTGTTTAGTGTTCCAACTTTTTTGGAATCCGATTTGTAGACAGGATCTATTTCTGAAAAAGAAATCCAGTTTTACTGTCAATTGACCAAGATTTCGTCGTGGGGCTTAAAAGAGAGGTACAAATCGACCACGATACCCAAGTATTTGTAGGAATAGACAAACAATAAGAACACCATTAACATAGGAAGGACTACTAGTACCAATTTTCTCTTTGAAAACAACATCCCTTTAGTTTTGTCAGTGTTTAGCACCAGTTTGAGATGGAACAAATCTGACTGGATGATGTCAAAAGCAGACTGTAAAAGCTGGAAAATCTTAGCAACTGTTTTAGCTCAAGAATAAACAACTGTATCACCAGCATAGAAATGTAAGGATGCATCAGGAATGTTCTGACTTGCATTATTTATATAGATTGTAAAGAGAACGGGTCCCAAGACTGAACCTTGAATGACAACTTCAGCTGGGGCAACAACACCACCAGCCTGATCAACAAAGTTCATCAGAGACTCTACTTCCTCAGACGGCTGAGACGAGCTGGTCTGGGAAGCTCAGTCCTCACCTCCTTCTACAGGTGTGCAGTGGAGAGCATCCTGTGCTCCAGCATCAACGTGTGGCATGGAGGCTGCACAGCTGCAGAAAGAAAAGCTTTGCAGAGAGTGGTGAAGGCTGCACAGAAGATGTTGGAGTCAGTCTCCCCACCATCACAGACATCTACACCTCCAGATGCAGGAAGAGGGCCACCTGCATCATGAAGGACCACACTCACCCAGCACACACACTTTTTGCCCCGCTCCCCTCAGGAAGGAGGTTGAGGAGCATTAAGTGTAGAACCACTAGACTGAGGAACAGCTTCTACCCTGAGGCTGTTAAAACTCATGAACCCCTAAGCAGAATAATCACTAAGAAAAAAAAAAAAAATTTTACTGTAACTGATTGTAATTCGTGGTGATCTGTGCTGCTGATTATCCATGCTGCTGATCTCATGTTGCTGATTATTTCATGTTGCTGTATTCATTCATATCCATCTGCTCACACAGACTCATGCTTGGGCTGCTGTTGTTACACCGTATTACATTATTAGTTTTTAGCGTATATCTTAGATCCTTATTTACTGATTCTTTTTACACTTTATATTTTTACTATAGTTGGGTGTAACTGGGACCCTGTGTACATAATTTCATTCCACCTCATGTACCACATGGTCAAGTGATGATATACCTACTTGAATTTGAACTTTTGGTACACCATTACTGACAAATAAATAACTGGAAGAAGTACCATTATGTTGAACACATTGCTTTTGGCCTGAGAGATAATCAGAAAACCAACTGATAGTATGATCTGAGAAACCAATTTCTGAGAGCTTGACACAAGATGTTATGATCCACAGGGTCAAAAGCTTTAGACAGGTCTAAGTAAAGTGCAGCACAATAATCCTTAGCATCCAGTGCTTTAACAATGTCATTAAGAACCTTCAGTGAAGCAGTGGTTGTGCTGTGTTGTTTCCTGAAACCAGACTGATGTGAAGGTAAGATGTTAAACAAATCCAAATATTTGATTTGAGAGTTTATCAGTTTTTTAGGACCTTAGCTAAAATACAGAGTTTAGAGATTGGTCAGTAGTTGTTCAGTATAGTGGGGTCTCCTCCCCTCAGTAAAGGCTGTATTCCAAGTGTTTGGAACAGTGTTTTGGCTTATGGACAGACTAAAGATGTGAGACACCGGTTCTGCAATGATATAAGCAGCTAGCCTTAAGAAATAAGGAGGGAGGTCATCAGTGCCTGCAGATTTTCTAGAATACAGGTATTTTACAGTTTATTAACCTCACTGATGGAGAACAGTGAAAATGAGAAGGAGTGATTTACTGAAGATTGACTTGTAGGAGAAATTTGATTAGTAGAAGTTTGGCTTGAAGGAGAAGTAGATGGTTTTCCATTCGTAGAACATGGAGCTAGAGGCAACAAAATGTCAGTTGGAACATTTCAGGATTTCATGCTTTTTTGACACAGGAACAGAGTCAACAAATAATTGTGGTAGCACATCAGATGAATGGGAGCTGCCAGAAAGAGACTGGATAGTTGTCCAGAATGTTTTAGGGTCATTTAGATCTTTGTTGTCTGAAATAAATAATAATTACATTTTGCAGCTTTAATGGAAGCTGTACATTTATTCCGTAGCTGACGAAATTACAACCAATCAGTGTCTGAACCAGAAAGTCTCTCGCAGTTGCCCAAAGCTGATCCCTCCTGTGCAGGAAGTCAGCTAGCTCAGGAGTAAACCAGGGGCTGTCTCCACATTTTATTCTGAAGTGGCAAAAAGAAGCATGTTTAATTACAAAGTGAATGAAACTTTTGTAAAAATAGTTCCAAGGTTCACATCTTGAAAACTAATGAAAAATATTTAACGTCACTGAGATTCAAATTAAAAGCATTTTAATGCCATTTAAGGCCTTAAATTGAGCTAAAGCCATTTAACGACATTTTATGCTTTTTAATGCCCTGCAAAAACCCTGGTAAAGAAATAGTAAAAAGTTTTTGATGATTAATGATAAAAGTGTTTGAAGGTAACATTTAAGAGAGTGGGACGAAGGTTGTGTCAAACAATTAGGAAGTGACATCTGCCTTTGTAAATAGACTCCACTGCCTCAAGTTCTGTATTAGTGAAGAAGAGCACAATTTTCTCCTTACAAAGTTAAAAGTTGTTTCTTTTCTTCCATCAACAACTCAGATCCTACCTTCAACTTTGAGGTTCATGCCCCCAAACACCAGAGGACCGATGAACTGGGCCTTCATCTCCCCCTCGAAGTAGACAAAGATGGTGGGCAGGTTTCGGTCAGGGTAGTTGGGGATGCAGGTGGTGGAGATGGACTTCAGGAACTTTGTCTGAGGGAACTTCCCAGCCAGAATGCTCAGGTGCTGGTTGATGAGGGTACACAGAGGGATGCTGAGATGGGAGATGAGCAGAAAACAGACCTTTTTTTGTTGTTGACTACATTAACAAATACAACATGTTAGAATGATTTTGTCCTTAAATCTTAAACTGATCTGGTGACGGACTTTTATGTGCAACAGTAAACAGTTTCAAAAGTTCAGGTCATGAACATGCCAACAAAGTTTTTACATAAACAGATTTTTTTTCTTTTCTTTTTGCAGCTCAAACACGTTGTTTAATAGCTCACATAATCAAAATGCTGTGAAGTCAATCTTATGTCTATAAATGGGTGCAGGAGAACAATTTAGGTGATTTTAACTAAGACACAATCAAATTAACTTAATGCAGGAAGGTTTCAACACTTAACACACCCCTGCTTGTAGAGATGCAGCACCACCCAGATGCCCTCTCCAGCCTTGTTGACTTCCTTGACGTAGTCCTGACCAGAAATTTCCCCCACCTCCCCGAACACGTTCTTCATCTGAGTTGCTTTCCACTCTGCCAGTCGCTTCAGTCTGGAAGGAGATGCAGCTCATATCAGCACAAAGCTGAGATAGGAAAACTACTGTAGTTAGCGCGTATAAATAACTTACAGTTCAAAGGATCAATGTTTGAGTTCCTGAGTTTAATAATGTAAAAAAATACAATAAAATGTGGCATAAGAACAGTTAGGAGAATTCTAAATTAAAACAAAGGCAAAGGAAAGATATAAATAAACTATGGAAAAGTGGGACAAACCCAAGTTACAATAAAATCGTTTCCCTCTGAACCTGCGTTATCTCCACTTACCTGTACATCTCAATGGCAGCCTCATCATCCTCACCAAACTCATCTTCATTCTCCTCAAGTTCCTCCAGTGTCATGCTCTCATAGGTCTTAACTGCACAGAGACAACATTAGCAACTAGTTACGTGTTCTGCAAACAATCCAACAATTATCTGCTGGAAAAGGGTTTAAATGAACAAATCTAAAAGTATCAAACATTATTCGACTAATGTACAAGTATTTCATTAGTATATAAACAATAAAATGGCTACATTAGAGTAATAGAATAACACAAAAACATTTCAATTTGTAAAAATTAAAAAGTCATCTCTTACCCACTGACTGTTGCTGGAGGGCTTCTTCCTCCTCTTCATCATCTTTAGGAATCTCTTTAGGAGGAAGGATGCCTTTCTTCCTCAGGATATCGTTCCACTCTGTGTCTTCATTTGGATCCTTCGGATAAAACAAATCATACATTTAAATACTGAATATTTGGGGTTCCATTACTCTATATGTGATGTGTTTAAAAAACAAATACTAATAACAGAAATGTAATGAAACTGTAAAATCAGTGATTTGATACTGATTGTTAAATTCTTGTTTCTCTTTTCAGTTTTCTAAAGACTTTAGCAAAACTGTATAGTTGTCAATGTGCTCATTTGCCGAGACCAAAAGTAGCAAAAAGTAATTTGTTTTCATCCAGAACCCTTTCCAGAGTTCCCTAACTGCTTTGGAGAGACTAATCTTCCTCCGATACTCACACCTTCCCTGAAACAATAAGAATCTGGCATTAAATGGTCTCTGTGAAGGATCCTGGCATCATGAGAAGTCCTGGAAATCTGACTTTTGTATTTTTGCAACTAAAAATATTGGTAGTTAAGAGGTTTATAATTTGAGAATTGAAAAAAAAAAAAAAAAACACTTGTTTTCATACCATGTTTGGAAAATTTGGAATAAAATTACCCAGAATGGCCTATTTTAGAATAAACATGATATTTATCCGGGATACCTTCAGAAATAAAATTAAAATGACGTTCATTAATTGAAGGCAAAAACAGACCACAACCTCCAATATTCAAAGGGCAGTACATCAGAGCTGAAACGTGTTCTTTGTACAAGTAGATGTACCTTCGAAATATTTTTTCCATCCAAATTTGCGACAGTGACCAAGGCAGGATTTGAGAACTTTAGTTGACTTCATGCGGAATGGCTCTTCAGTGAGACAGTCAAGTTATACAACTAAATGAAAAGTTATAAGGCATCATAACTTCTCACTACTGCAGTAAAAAATACTGGAAGTGTGAGGAACCTCTGTAAAGCTCAGATTAAATTTAAAAACTCCTTGGACATGAACTAAAAACCAGAAAATACTAAAATGACATTCTTATGTCAATGAACACAGGAAGTTGTCATTTTAGATAATTAAAACTTCACTTAAATTTCAGTTTAAAAAAGTTGTTGGGGTATACGAAGTTA